ATAATTGCAAAATGTAATAATCACACAAAATATGATATGACTATCCTTCATCCCACCACAGATGCATTATTAATTTTATAATAGGTGGCAATGTTTCTAGAGAGATATTCTCTTAGTATTTCAAACTTGAATATTATATCCACTAATATGCTCTCAGTTGATATTAATTACATGATAAAGAAGTTGAGGAAAGAAAACATAAATATCTCTACAAATACATGCTTAACGAAAAATTGACAGCAACACTTTTGTCGACTACAATCCTCATTTCTGCAACTGGTCACACAGCCTCAGCTGGTTTTTATACCTATATTCCTCCACAACTGTCTGCTTTTACTGCACACTAAGCAAGCACCTCACCTGGTCTTTGCTCTTTCCTGCAGAAGTGACTCACACCTTCATTCCATTTGTTATTTTAACTGGATTAGGTTGCTGTAGTTTCTCATGACACACAAAGAGACTCCCTTAAGGATCACCTGACCTATAGTCATAATCTATCTTCCCTCCACTGTGGAGAAGTAATCCAATTCTGCTTGGTAATCTGGACCAACCACTCCATCTAACACATTAATTCCACTCTTAGCTGTTGGATAAAAGCCATCAGAAGCCCAAATAGCCAGGGAAGTTTGAGCTTTCAGTTCAGTGGAATGCTCATTGTGTCTCCAGGCAGGAGCCATCCCTCCTTTACAACTAAAACTGCTAGACCAACAGAAAGTAAGCAAAGGGGTATATGACCAAAAATCTTCATAGTAGGTCACTAGGGATGATAGTGTGTGGAATCATTCACCTCTTCAGTCCTGGACCTGTGAACCTGGCTACAGGAGAAACCATACTATATATTGGACAATGGCTCAAAGCATATACCACCATCTGGAGAACCCTGCCCCAGCCCTCCAGGATGCTGCCACTGAATTGGCACTGTAACTGTGTCTTCAGAAAGCCATTCCATCTTTCTTTCAGAACAGCTGCTTCAGAATGTGGGCAACATGGTAAGACCAGTGATTTTCATGATCATGGGCTCACTGTCCCACTTTTCTGGGTGTGAGGTGAGTCAGAAGCAATGCTGGGTAGAATAACATGACTGTGGATAAGGCATTAGGTGGGTGGTGGATGGTGGTTTTGGCAGAAGCATTACATTCAAGAAAGGCAAGTGCATAACCAGAATAATTATCTACTCCAATAAAGAAAAGGCATTGTCCTTTTCACAGAGGAAGAGGTCCATTATATTCATCTTGTCTCCAGAACATTGGCTAGTTATCCAAAAGAATGGTGCCATATCTGGGGCTCAGTGTTGGTCTCTGCTGCCAGCAGATCTGGCATTCAGCTCCAGACTTAGCCAGGCCATCCTTCCTGACTGACAGTCCATGTTGTCAAGATCATGAATAACCCCCATCTCTGCCACCATGACCATTTTGCTCATGGCCCCTGTGCTGGCTGATCTGATGTCAACTGGACACACAAACTAGAGCTATCTGAAAGAAGGAGTCCTTAATTGAGAATATGCTCCCATAAGATCTGGTTGTAAAGCATTTTCTTCCTTAGTTATTGATGGGCAAAGGCTTAGCCCATTGTGGGTAGTGCCATCATGGGCTGGTAGTCCTGGGCTCTATAAGAAAGTAGGCTGAGCAAGCCAGGAGAAGAAAGCCAGTAATCAGCAGCCCTACATGGCCTCTGCATCAGCTCCTGGCTTCAGATTATTTTGTTATTTGTGTTCCCATCTTCACTTCCTTCTGTGATGGACAGCAGTATGGAAGTATAAGCCAGATAAACCTACTCCTCCACAACTTGCTTTTTGGTCATAGTGTTTTGCCCCAGGAACAGAAAACCCTAAATAAAGCAGGATGGTACCAGTGTAGTGGAGTATTTTTGTGACCAACTGACTATGTTTTAGGAAGGATTGTGGAAGGACTTTGGATCTTTGGGCTAGAAAAAGCCATTGAGTGCTGAGAGCTCAGTGGGAAGTTTTGCGGGTGCTTAAAAGATAGGAATCTTGAAATCAGTGCAGAGAGTGGAGGCCTGGCATGTGATGGTTCAGAGGGAAGTTTAAAGACCCTATCTAGATCCATGCAGGGGCCAGGTTCTGATCATCCTTGGGAGGAGGCTTGACTTTGACAGGAGATTCTGGTGAGGATGGCATCTGTAGTGGGTAGCCGTTCCAGCCCTTAATAATTTCACCAATAGCATCAGGCACAGAGAGAGGACAAGAATAGAAGGAAAGAAAGCCTGAACACGATCTGTGAAATGGCAGAATTTGTCCAGATCAGTGAGAATGTGGTAATTGAATACATCATTTAATGGCCATTGAGATTGTCTGCCAAGCTTATGGGATAGCCAAGACATATTGCAATAAAAAATAAGGTGGTGAGACTTAATGAGATCTGTAAGTGTGAAGTGGGAAAGAGACTTAAGGATAGAAGCAAGAGAAGTTGAGGAGTCACATTTGGAATGGAAAAAGCCCATGATTGATCAAGTGAGAGAGACAGAGCAAGCAGGAAGAAATACAACCTTGAAAAGGCAGCAGTTGATAACTTCAGAGTGAGGAGGAAGTGGGAGAGACTTAGAGAGGAGGGCAGAGGAATCCCACCAGGAGAGGGATACCGATAGCACAGGAACAGAGGCACAGGGAGGGATGCAGTGAGTGATGCAGGGACAGAGTCTCAGTCTGAGGGTGTGGCCATAGAGAACTAGACTCCTCAGAAAGATGCTCAGTGAACAGATGTCCCTTTACAGAGGATGGGGTGCCCAGGAGTGCATAGGGGAGCTACCTGATGAACAGCAGGACCTTTGTCCCATACACTTCAGGAGTTCAGAAAAACAGAGGGACAGCAGGCTCCAGTGATGCAATGAGACAGACAGACAGACAGACACAGAGGAGGAAGTTCCAAAATGTTACTTAAGCAAGCAGGGATGGAGAGAGAGTAGGCAGAGTAGGTAAATATCTTTGCTAGGGTTTCTATGGCTGTGGTGAAACATCATGACCAAAAAACTAGATGAGGAGGAAAGAATTTCTTTGCCATAAAATTTGGTAGCAATGCTCATACATGAAGGAAGTCAGGACAGGAAATCAAATAGAGCAGGGTCCTGGAGGCAGGAGCTGATGCAGAGGCCATGGAGGGGTGCTGCTTACTGGCTTGCTCAGCTTGCTCAGCTTGCTCTCTTACAAAACCCAGGACCACCAGCCCAGGGATGACACCACCCACAATGGGCTGTGCCCTCCCCATCAATCACTAAATAAGAAAATGTTCTATAGGCTGGCACACAGACCCGACTTATGGAGGCATTTTCTCAATTGAGGTTCCTTCCTCTCAAATGTCTATGGTTTGTGTCAAGTTGATATGCATCTAGCAAGCACAGTGGAGTAGAGAAAGAGCTGGATAGGCCTAAAATAGAGCTGGATAGCTCTAACATTTTGAGTTGAATATGGTAAGGGAGGAGCCAGCATAGTGATACTCACTGAGGGGTGTGCAAAATCAATACTTCAGTTGAGTCAAGGCATATAGGGCCTCTTGAATGGTGCCCAGGTTTCTCTTCCTGGTTTCATCACCAAATGTAAGACATGAAACAGTAAAATCATCAAACTACACAATTCCATGGATAGAAGGATATACTGATTGGGGATCAAACTGCCAAAGCTCTATCTCTCTGGAGAGTGGGGCCAGAGAGATGCAGAATATCAGAAAAGAAAATGATTTTCTATGACAGCAGGGTACGGACATTTGAGCTAATTCAGTCTGTCTAGATTGACGGGGAGCTGGGTGATTTGCCTGAGGTAGCTGACATTTGTGCGAAGATTTGGATGGCTCCTGGCAAACAGAAATGCACCATGGGTAATCTTCCTCTTTGTTACACAGAGACCTGCCTTTAGGCTTCTGTTTACTGAGCCAAAATCCTTCTTGTTAGGACCAGCACCGCCATTGGGGGGACAACAGCTTTGGGCCTAATACCTGCCTGCTCAGTGCCTGCCTAACACCTCCCCATCCTTGACACAAACGCCACAGTTCTCATCCTGAAGGGAATGACAGACACTTTATAAGAGCCATTTTGAGTGACAGTGAGCTGAGGACATAGATTTCTCTCACCCAAATTCCATCTTCCAGTATGGAAACAGTTTCATGAAAACTTGATAGCTTAACTAAACAAAGTCACAAATCAAGGCAAGTTTAAAATGCAGGGGTGGGAACCCCAGGGAGGCAGATGCATCATCAAGATCAGGGAGCTTCTCCACAGGCTCAAGATGTTCCCTGCTGGCATTCTTAACTTTTGGATTGAAGCTGGTTGTCTGCTAAGTTCATAGACTCTATTGTCACAAGGGTTAGTTCTGACACAGAGGGAGGAAACATGGCTGTTCCAGAGAGCAGCACTTAGCCCATGAGAAGGTCATTAGCCTCTGACCTGCAGTGTTCCCATCTCTCTACAGTGCTGAAATTCAGATCAGCCAGCCAGGCTCTGCAGACACAGATTCCTTTAAGAGGTTTTCTTCACTGCCAGACAAGGCAGCTTCCCTCCAGAAGTCTAATATCCAAAGAGGGGAGAGTGAGTCTCTGTTGAGAATTTGCCCATTGCTGCCCAACAGGACGGTTACACAGATGCAGGAGGGGTTCTGTGAGCATCCAGGCATGAGTTTATTAATGTGTGAGAAATTGGGGAGCACATAGAGATGTGTTCTTTTCAAAGTGACTTGGAAAGTATAGGTCAAATGTTAGGGGCAACCCTACCCCGTGACACACAGGGCTTGTGCCCTGTCTTTTTAACTCTAACTTATCCTCTGTTCCACATGGACCATTAAATGATTAGAGGAACAGAAAGCCACAAACGCAATCCAGTGGACTTGTTGTTTACAGCCTTCAGGAATTGGTTCTACCTCCTGGAGCTTCTAAATGCACGTTACCAGAAATCATCCCATCTGCACACGTCCAGACTAAGCACAGAGCACAACTTGTTCAGGACAGCATTTCCTAAGAAGAGGGAGGAGTCCCTGGTGGGGATAAATAGACATCAGTGAGCAGTGGAGATAACAGCACACCAGGCAGGCAGCCACCCGAACATCAGAACTCAGCTATCACAGGCTCTGGCGGCGGGCATCAGCTGTGCAGGTAATGCCCAGGATTCTTTCTCTCTGGGGACAAAAAAGGTACCTTCGCAGGACTGTGTGGTACTGGTAATGATCTAAAGTCTTGGTTTGGAGGGCTGAGGAGTTGATCCTATGGCACTGGGCTACAATCAGGGAACGTTTCTGGGGATCATAGGAATCTTTGCACCAGTCTGGGTATTCCTGTCAATGAACAGTGCAGGAGGAGCCATGAACTATGCTCCTGGAGAGTGAATGGAGCATGCTCCTTCTGACACTCCATGGCGAAGAAGTACTGGGACCTTGAATAGTTCAGGTATAGTTATAGGGACCAGAGGGAGACACGAAAGTTACAGAGACCCTATGGGAGAAGTGACATCACTGTCATGCTTAGAGCGACAGGAGATGCCTTCGAGTCAGGGACCCAACTTCTCCAACAGATCCCATGGCCAAGAAATGGGACCACACCCTCTCCTAATAAGGAAAAGAAGGTTACAGCTCAGGTACTGAGCCGGGTCTCCTCCACAAACGGATTAGCTTGTTTCTGTGGAAATAATTTTGATGTAAAATATGTTTGAATACTTTCCAAAGAAATGGTTGCAACAGTCTGACAATAAATACAGGGTAGAGGCAGCCAAAGTCCCTGGCCCCTCTGCAGGCATGCCACAGCCCTGGAGACACGTGGCTCAGCTCCAACACCTCCCTCCCCTGCTCCCTCCATTCTCCTCCTCCACTCTTCTGGTCTTCTCTCCCCCTCTGTCTTCCCCTTGGCTCCGTCCTCCTGTCTTCCCCACTCCTCCTGCCCCCTCTTCCCCCCACCACTGTCTCACTCCAGCTTCTTTTCCCACCTGGTCCTCTCTCCTCTGTTCTTCCCCCTCACCTTCCTGTTCCTCTAGCATCTACGTTCTCCTCTGAACTCATCTACAGTGTGGACAGAGGCTAAGGTGGGTGGCAGTGTTTACCATGATCACAAACCTTCAACTGTAGTTTTAAGAATGCTTGTGCCCCAGTCCAGGGTTATATAGAGAGGATGGCCCGCCATGCATTCCCTACAAATACCCACAATGCCCATAATAAGCCATACACTTTGACTAATAGGGTACCCTGGGTCACTCAACAAGCTGCCCAGACAGGTCCACCCATTTCTTTGCCCCACACAGACATCCTGACAGCTAAAATGAAATCTGGTCCAGGTCTCGGACACACAGACACCATTCAATTTCCTTCCCATCAGGAGGCCTTCCACGTTGAGATACAAATGTCTATGTGGAATGCTGGCAGGGCTGAGATCACCTTGCCCTATTGGTTCCTTTAGTACCTGTTCTCAGGGGTCCCAAGGCTTTGGAACGGCACCAGTCCTCTCCAGGGCTGCCCTCTATTACCCCTTCACACTCCCAGAAACGTGTGCTAGGTTCAGCCGAGGGCTGTGGAATTTCTTGGTCATGTTTGCTGTAGGTTGCGGTGGGCCCTGTGCTACATGATTGGTCTAAGGATCCTTCCCTGAGTCCTGAACAGAGATTGATGATGGGGTAGAGGACATAAATGCAAAAAGGAGATCCCTTGCTTTCTAATGAGTCCTTATACCAATTTAGAAGAGGAGAAGAGACATTCAGATTACACCAGGCTTAAGCCCATCCTCAGGTTCTTCTCTTCCTTACCCTGTGACCCTGGCAAATCTCTTCATCCCTCTGGGTTTTGATTCTCTAATAGGAATACTGGTTACTACAATAGCAATTCTTCCTGGAATAAAGGGAGCAGAGGCTGTGGCACTCCCATCTGAGTGGCCAGAGCACCTCCCATGCACAGTCACAGAGGCAGCAGAGCAGGGACACAGTGCTGGCCACATGGGAGGACAAGAAGATGGTCATGGCACCATGTGACCCTCCCTGACAAAAGGATCTTTTCTTTTCAACCAGGAGAACAGAGTAATGGCTGAGATCTCCCCTGATGTCCTCTGCCAACCAGATGACATTTTGGGAAGGGACACTGCTGTCCAGGAAAACCAGAACAACAGGACACCAGTGGACAATCTAGCACTGAGCTCCACCAACACCGACTTCACCTTCAGCCTCTACAAGGAGCTGGCTTTGAAGAATCCAGATAGAAATGTCGTGTTCTCTCCATTCAGCATCTCAATAGCCTTGGCCATCCTGTCCCTGGGAGCAAGAAGCAAAACCCTGGAAGAGATTCTAGGAGGCCTCAAGTTCAGTCTCACAGAGACCCCTGAGGCAGACATCCACCAGGGCTTTGGGCACCTCCTCCACATGCTCAGCCAGCCAGGGGACCAGGTGAAGATCAACACTGGCAGCATGATGCTTGTTGAAAAGCGCCTGCAAATCCTGGCAGAGTTTAAGGAGAAGGCAAGGGCACTGTACCAGGCTGAGGTTTCCACAGCTGACTTCCAGCAGCCTCATGAGGCCAAAAAGAACATCAATGACTATGTGAACAAACAGACCAAGGGGAAGATCAAGGAATTGATCTCAGACTTGGATGAGAGGACAGTAATGGTGCTGGTGAATTACATCTACTTTAAAGGTGAGGATGGTCACTGTTTCAGGGGTTGATTATAAGGTGCTGGCTGTGCATCTTGTGTCCATACACTGACCACTGCCTTGGAGACATGGGTGCCTCACTTCTTTTTACTAACAGACATTACTTCTCTTTTATGGTATTCTATATAATGGTTATGGTTCCTTCATAGTCCACAGAACCCTTGAGCTCTCCGTCTAAGAGAGCAGAATTTGGCTGTGACTTAAACTTACTGACTATCAGAATGCATAGATTATTTGCCTAGTCCTACCCGAGTGGGCAGAAACAATGATGAGATGGTACCGTGGTCAGTTTTTTATTGCTGTGAAGAGACACCATGATCACGGCCACTCTTATAAATGAAAACATTTAATTGTGTTGGCTCATTTACAATTCAGAGGTTCAGTCCATTATCATCATGGTGGGACATGGCAGTGTGCAGGCAGACACGATGCTAGAGCAGTATCTGAGAATCCTACATCTTTCAGTCTATAGGAAGTTGTCTGATACTCTGGGCAGTATCTTGAGCATTTATGAGACCTCATAGTCTGCCTCAACTGTGACACACTTCCTCCAACATGATCACAACTACTCTAACAAAGGCACACCTCTTAATAATGCCACTCCCTAAGAGTTTCTGGTGCTCAATTACATTCAAACTGCCCCAAAAGGAGACCCTCATTCAGGCTACTCCCACATTTTTGACATGCTCCTACAGAATCCATCTGCTAGAAAACCTCCATCTCTAGCAGGACCCCAGATAAGTTTATTAGGGTACCCAATATTTTGGGGAACATAATATCACCACAGGTAAGGGTTAGTAGAGAGACCTGGGTGGTCTAAGGACTTCTTGACCTAAGGAGCCTGGCTACCCCAATCTTGAGGGGAAAGGAGTATGGCTGACAATTATTGAAGTGCTCTGTGGGAGGTTTCTATGCAGGACCTCTCCCTGAGCCTTTTCTGGAATGCTGGACATGGACATGGAGAAGCAAGGACTGAGGAGAAGCCATTAGTGAGAGGGAGGTGTCAGCGGGCAGTGCTCTGTGTTTAGAGTCTGGCTGCTTTGTGGAGTTTGCTTTTATTAAATTAGTAGTCAAGGCAGCCTGCAGGGTCACAATTCTGAATAAACAATCCTGGGACAAGGAGTCTGGGGTTGGGGTGCAGGAGAGTTTAGAAAATGGGTTAGAATTTCGGTGGGTAAGGGTTAGTAGGGAGACATCCAGAGCTCACACACACAGAACCCTGCCTGATAGACCAAGGAGTGAGGCAATGGCCCGCAGGATGATTCCTGATAAAAATCTTGATGTGGCTAGATCTGGGATGTATTTGGGACCCTGGACTCTGGATAGGCAAGAGCAGAGGAGGGTAGGCTCTGAGACTATAGACAGAAAACCAATTGGCCATGGACAGGAGAGGATGGAGGACAGAGAACAGGAGTCCAGGATGACCCCAGAGCAGCTCTGATCTAAAGAGAAATGAAGCAGAGTGATGGCCTGAAGGATTAGACTACAGAGCTTGGCTCTCTCTGCTGGGTGCAGAACCCAAACACCAAGGCTGGTTGACCCTGAGGTGAGGATATATGTTTATTATGCTGCTGGATCCTGAGCCCAAGAAATTGTCAAAGCAACATGTCCCACAGGTTGTATTGCAGATGGTCATATGCACTTGGGAATTGCTTAAAGTCTAAGTAGGATATCTTTGATTCATGAAGGTGAACGTAGCCCACATGGGAGAATAGTTCTCATTACCCATCTCTTTCTACCAGAAACTGTGGGATTCTGGTAATTCAACTCTGGGAAGTTGTAGATTTCACGAGTTTCAATTAAAACCCACTCATGGCTCTGGGAACTGAATTCCATTAAGGTGGTTCACACTGAGGGGCACCATGGACAGATCATGGTGTGGGAGAACACAGTCTCACTTGTTTTCCCTAAAACCTGTCCCACAAGACATAGCCATAGACATGGCATCTCCTAAGAAAGAAGGGAACCTCAACTCTCCCCAGTCTCCAGTCTCCCCAATTTAAATCTCATCTCTCTGTTATGCACCCCACCTCCAGATCCCTGGCTGTTTTTCAGATATCTCATATATGGACGCTTTGGTTTTGAGTTCCTCTTTCCAAACCAACTCTGTGGATCACTTCTCATTCATAATTCTACAACCACCAAGTTGTTTTCTAATCTAGATTATGCAACCAGTAAGGGACACTCTATGCTGCTGAGGATGGATTGATTTCTGTCAAGACTGAGAATCTGGGCAGAAATGGGGTGAAGGTGAGGTCTCTCTGCTTATGCTACAATCTGATGGCCTGCTCCACATTTAGGGAAATGGAAGAGGCCCTTTGAGCCTCATTTCACATATGAGTCTGACTTCTACTTGGACAAGAAGAGGTCTGTGAAGGTGCCCATGATGCACCATACATCTCTGACCACACCCTACTTCTGGGATGAGGATCTGTCCTGCTCTGTGGTGGAGCTGAAGTACACAGGCAATGCCAGTGCCCTGTTTATCCTCCCTGATGAGGGCAGGATGCAGCAGGTGGAAGCCAGCTTACAACCAGAGACCCTGAAGAAATGGAAGGACTCTCTGAGGTCCAGGTGTGTGTCCACAGGAACCAGAGCTGATCTGGCTCCCCACCTACTGTTGGTCTGAGGCCCAGTGTCCCTGTCCCTCAGAGTGTCAGGATCACCCAGTGTAATGGCTGGAAAGTCAGCAGGGACAGGTGGATTCAAGGTGAGTTTCCCTCTCACCTGACTGACTCAGTAGGTTTTGGACAGGTTTTGCTGTCATTTTGTTGTTCACAAGATGACATCAGCTAGAGCAGGAGCTGAGGATTCCTCTGTGTCTAACAGGCTGTAATTACAGGGAATCTTGAATGGGTTTGGAAGGCAGAGGGAAGTGAGGTTGAGATGTGATCAGCTCTGAGAATCAGCTTTGCCATGTGTAGCCATCTCATCCCCTCATCACTCATTCATTCACCATTCATGGAATGATGACTTGAAGACCTACTATGTGCAACATTCTTATCTAGACCCTGAGAGGGTACCAGAGACTCACAAACAAAATTTCTTACCCAGAGGGCTAATCTATCTTGTTGAGGAAGAGATTGGGGACATGAAAATGCAACTAATCATCATTTGATTAGTTAAAAGGTGATGAAGAGTGAGATTGAGAAAGGGAGTGTTCAAGGTTAAGGAAAGCTGGAGTCAGATGCAGAGTGAAATTTAATATAGTAGTGTCATTAGAAGATGTCTGAGGGTCCACAGGACAGAGGAAGGGCTCCATTTTGTGCATCTGGGAGAAAAGCATTCTCCTTAGAGGAACAGGAAGTACCAAGCAATGTTCCCTAGCCCCTGTAAACACTATCAGGCACTGACAGATAATTAATGCATTAGGAAGACCAAATCATGTGGTCTAGGCATGGATGGAAAGAGGGTTGCTCTCCAGTGAGAGGGTTGTCTCTGGTTCCCCAGCTATATGGTGATTTGATGGAGCAACAGAGTCCATCGACTTTTATGTTTCTCTTTTTCATTCTTAGGAAGATCGATGATCTCTACATGCCCAAGTTCTCCATCTCCACTGACTACAGCCTAGAGAACATCCTTCCACAGCTGGGTATCAGGGAAGTCTTCTCCACACAGGCTGACCTGTCTGGAATTGCAGGGGCCAAGGACCTGAGAGTCTCTCAGGTAAGCCTAGACACACTTGGGTGGTTCACCTTGGTGCCTGATTGTGGATGGTGAAGGCCAAGAGGTGTGCAGGGGAATGGCAAATGTGTGAGAAAACCTGCATTTCTGAGATTCCCTCATCCTGGGAGAGCTGGATTACAACCTAGATACTCCTGCTGGATACCACAGACAGTCCCTCCTGCACCCTTTGAACATAATCTCACCTAGGAGCTCATGGCAGACAAGAGCCTGTGATTAGTCTTAGACCACCACAGGCAGCACCCTGTGCTACAGTGGGGATACCATCCACAACCCACTGCAGGGCAAATGCACTTCCAGCCTCAGCTTCTTCACTGCTAGCTGGCCAATACTTCTTGACTGGCACACAGAACAGTCACAGTAAAAGAAAAAACAAGGGATGAACGGCAGTTGGGATGAAAAGATTAAGAATAGGGAAAAAGATGCTGTAGGATCCCACATTACATTCCTAGACACACAGCCTGAGAATGCCTAGTGTTCTGTCCAGTGCCCAGTCAGAGGCCTGGTCTCAGATCTGTACCAGCAGAGCATGGCATTCTGGGAATGAGAAGCCATGTGCTATGCATCACTGTTGTATTTACCAAGGAAGATGGAGTAGGAAGGATGTGGAAACCTGCACTGGCTGCCAGCACCCTTGCTGTTCTCTGTGGATCTCCTGAGAAGCTGTCTTGGGGGTAATGACTGGTTTCACCTACACCCATCCTCCAGAATTTAGGGTTTTTGAGGACAACACAGATTCTCAGAGATTGAGCAGACGTAGGGCATGCCTCATCTCACTCCCTGAGCAGACACTTGGAAACATCAGGGGTGGAGCTCACGGTAGAACAAACATCTTCATCAGCAACTGAGGCCAGCAGTGGATGCTTGCTCCAGGAATCTCTTCTCCTGCTCTCCCTGGTCTCCAGTGAGTGATGTCTTTCTCCTACAGGTGGTCCACAAGGCTGTGCTGGATGTGGCTGAGACAGGCACAGAAGCAGCTGCCGCCATAGGTTGGAGTCCTGTGGGATCGGCTCTAATTTTGAACCCTCTGACTATAAAATTGAACAGGCCATTCCTGATGATGATCTCTGACACAAATACTCAGACTCCACTCTTTATGGCCAAAGTCACAAATCCCAAGGAAAATTAGAACTTCCCAAGTGGTGGGCTTTGTTCCTAGGAGCCACGAAGGTAGCCTATATGTTGGTCTCTATGTGCATTTTGGCCTCCATGCTCTGATTGGCTGTGGCATGAGTGGATTAGACAATAACAGTCTAACTGTATGACTCCCACATACACAGGGGACTGGGGACAGTTAGTGTCAGGTTCCCAGTCCTCTTGGCAGCACTGACTCATGATCCTGAGTCTGAACTCTGTCTTTGTGGCCCCTCCCTGCTGCCTCTCCTGTATCTGCCTCTACACAAAAGCCTGGGCCCTGGCAGGTAGGCTCACTCCCTATCTAGGCTCTGGTTGTCTGCCTTCAGCTTCAGCAGAACTTGATAGGACTATGCAAACTTATAGGCCAATCTGTATGGACCTCACCCCAGCACTGAGAAGGGAACCTGCCACCCTGAGTCTATTTCCAGCATCTGAGACCATTGTGTGCCCAGTTCCTGCCTCAAACTTTCCCTCTTCCAGGCTCTGCCACCCACTGTCCCTTACAGGGGCTCCTGACCCTGCCCACATCTGGCACAGTGTTAGAGCACTCCTTCGTGCAGCTGCATGGAGCTGGTTGGTCAAACCAGCTCCTTTCCCCCAGTACACCTACTTAGGACACAGGAGACTTTTTCTAGGTGCCCCACTGACCAACCTCACACAACAGATGGACACCTCCACCTTCCTCACCCAAAATGTAGGGTTTGGAGCAAAGAATCAATAAAAATATAACTGCACAGAAAGTGTCCAGTCAGTGTTCATTCAGCAACTTTTGGCAGGGGTGTGGCCTCTAGTGACCACAGGATAGTAGATATTGTCATTCACACTCTGTGACTCCTGTGATGGACCTCTAACCTGCATGTTATTATCAGTCCTTTTTATGGATCAGGAAACTGAGGCACAGAGAAAGTTAGCCATTTTCATGACCTCACAGCTAGACATTATGACTGGTGGGTTGTTATTCAAGTGTCCTGATATCAGAGGAACATTTGTCACCAAGCAGGGGTTCTGTGCACAGGCATCACCATGGTGGTGTGTAGGTGGATCATAAAACGAGGCTCTGGGTGTTTCACAGAGAGCTCCCAAAATAGTCTGTGGATCATGTGACCTCTCTGCTGTGGTCTGAGTTGCATGAGAAGGTGGTCAGGTGACCAGAAAGAAAGCTTTGGGCAGGGCAAAGAACAATGGAAGCATTTTAAGAATCTTGGTGGGTTTAAGAAAATGACAAAAAAAACAGCCGTTGGATTGCCAAGAGTCTGCACCTGTGAGGATTCTCAAATGACTCAGAACTACAGGGAACTTTGAAGGGGTGAATTACTGTTCCTGTATTGGGAAACTCATAACTTTGTGTGGCTATAAAGCAGAGAACTGCTCTGGGCAAATATGGGGATTTTCACTGAAGGCAGTTTCATGGAACATCAGGCCACATAGGAGAAGAGAGTGGGTGATTTAGCTCAAGGATGAACTGGTTTGGTGCCTAGACAGAGGATGAGAGGAGGTCACAGTGCATTTAGGTTGGGGTGCTGGGTGTCCATGGAGAATCTGTGAGCCCTGAAACACTGCTGGAGGCCTATACAGACAGGGAATATTGTTCACTCAATTTGAGACACACTTGAGTCTTGACGCTCCTAAAAACACACAATGAACAGGTGGACATGTGGTTACAGAGAATTACAGCCTGGAGGGTCACACACAGGATTCTCTTCCACGGTGTACGCTAAAATATTACTCCGCGAGGACCATGGTGTGATAAGAACAGGACCCAAGTATGGAAAATGGCCATGTCCCATCAAATCCAATGTGTCCAACAGTCTTATTCAAGGTCTTGAGGTCAAGACCCGTGCACTCCATGAGCACTTACAGGCCTCAGCTGCATTACTCCATCCTTCATGGCTTCAGACCAGGTATCTAAGGAGCCTGGTGCTGACTATATCTCATATTGCCCATGAGCTGTTTCCAGAAGTGCTGGCAGAGTCTGAGTCTACTTCTTACTGGATTCTAGGACACAGCTATAAGGGTTTCACTTTCACCCATTCTATGAGGGTCCCCTGGACCTGACCACCAAATGTTGCCCCGCTGATGAGGCCCCTGCAGGGACCACCTCGGTGTGTAATAGAGGTAGCAGACTGTGAGGGGAAGAGGTTTACAGTAGTGATCTCAGACACCTGTGCACCAAACTCAAACCAGGACAAGGTACCTAAGGATAACCTAGATGTGAGGACCCCCAAGGGATAGCCACTGTGAAGTACCTGATTTGCAGATCATAGTGTGACTCCAGGGCCTTCTGGGAGGATGTTGAGCTGCCATCCAGCTGGCTGCCTCCATCTGTTCTCTGTTCGTACTGAGGCCACAGAACAGACAGTAGACAGAGGGGTGTGTCAGTGAGCCTTATGTCACTGGGACAGCACATCTGACATAACCCACAGAGGGAAGCAAAGGTTTGATTTGAATCACAGTTTCAGAGACTTCAGGCCAGAGTCTGCTGACTTCTCTGTTTTGGGCCTGAGGCAAGTCAAGCTTTGTGTATGTAAAGAACCTATCAAGGGGATGCGGGCTGGGGACAGAGGTAGGTGGGAAGAGTGTTCCCACCCCACCCCCCAAACATACACATAAGGGTCAGATTTTTATGCCCTGATACAAAAGTAAAAAAGCCAAGTGTGGTCACATGAACTTGTGATCCCATCTCTGGGGAGGTGGAGACAGGTGGATCCCTGGGACTCCCTGGGGAGCCAATCTATGCAATTCAGTGACTTCCAGGCCTATAAAGAGACCCGATTCTAAAACCAAGATGGAGAAGGAATGACAGTTGAGGTTGACCTCTGACCTTCATGTACATGTGCACATGGATGCACACATACACATTCACAAACACACAGAACTACAAAAAATAATTGTTCAAGGCGAAAGAGAGGAGGGCTAGGGAGCTAGCTTAGTGGTAGAACACTGGCTTGGATTGTGTATGTGAAGTTGAATGTCCCCAGTACTGTGAGAGTGGGGAGACAACCCCCAGGATGGGAGGAAATGTCTGCAACTCAGGATTCTGTACATAGAATTCTGATAAACTCAAACAGTTGGATCACAAAGCCATCCTTCACACCACCAAGAAGGACGCACCCTTCTTCATCTGTTAGATTAGTGAATCCTCACAGTCAGGCTGGGTGTAAGTCAGCAGGGACCAAAGCTGTGTTGATGCAGAGGATGGACACCATCTGGCTAATATGGATCACATTCCTGGCTTGATTCAGCATCCACTAGTGTCTGATCCTGGGATCCTATACAGTAGGTCATCAGCACCGGGACACCTCAGCAAGCACTGGTGAGGAAGCAACAGGGTCTTAGGCATGAAGGACAGAGCAGCAGTGGTGACCTTTATGGTCTCTGTGGGGAGAGAAAGAGAAGAGCAGGAAGAGAGACTTCTGCCAAGGGAAGAATCCACTGTGAGACACTGCTTTCATGTTGAAATGATCCACCTGAGATAGTTACTGACGACAATAATATTAAGAAAATTAATGGCTTAAATACTTTTATTAATGGTCAGACAAAGAATGAGCACAGACCTACAAAACATCTGTAGGGTCCCAAGCTCAGGGACACAGCATGTTTAAAGGCAAAAACCACAAAGACCATAATTTACATACAGTTAGATAAAGGTCATATTAATTTAAAATGTTCTTTCCTGACAGAGCAGAGTTACTAGTTCAATCACAACATGAATAATGATTTGGGGTTACAGCTTCTTTATTTATTGTTGTTTCCTTGCATATTCTGGTCAATTCTGTGTGCCACGGACGTGTCCATGGAACTCTCAAATACATGTGAAGGCTGACATGACTATGGTGGGGAACAGAGAGGGTTGAGAACTGTGTGAGCAAACACAAGATGGAGTCATTATGAAAGACTTACCTTAGACATTTCAGTGTGAGCCTGCATGTTGTCTTGTGACATGTCTCTTTACTCTCTCCCTTGGTCATAAGGACTAAGAGGGAGATTGATCTTCTCTTGCATATGCTGATGCAGAATAAATTGCCCAAAAATGCACAGCTTGAAACAATAAACACAGAATATCTATCAGTGTCAGGCACTCATAAGGAGCCAGGCTGGGTGGTTGCTCCTCAGGGTTACTCATGAGTCACACTGTTGGCTGAAGACTTGACAAGTGACAGAGGTTCCATATCCAAGTTCACTCTCATGACCATTTTCTTTTTCTTTTTCCTCTTGTACTGTGAACTGAACCCCGGGTCTTGTGCTTGCTGTACAAGCCCCCTACCACCGAGCTAACCCCCAGCCCGCTCATGACTTTCGATGGGAAAACTCTCTGGGCCTACTCAAAGGGCTTCTCAGATCTAACTTCTGAAAAGGGATCAAAAAACATAAAGAGAGAGGGAAAAGAGAAGAAGCAGAAGAGAAAGAAGGAGGAGAGGAAAGCAGGAGAGAAGAGGAGGAAGTGAGGGGAGAAGGAAAGAGAGAGGTCAGGTGGGGCTGCGGAGGGACCTGGGAAAGGACTGCCAGAGCTGAGGCTGTACACACATGTAATCGCACTAGAAAGGCTGAGACAGGGAGGCCAGGAGTGTGAGGATAGCCTGGGCATGTCAGTTGTTAACTTTGTTGATGGGTCTCGATACCCAACAGAAGCAACCTGAATGTAGAAAGATTAGTTTCAACACTTGAGTGTTGTGGATCTCTCTCTCTCTATGCTGTGGATGTGTTGCTCTGATTTGGTTGATAAATAAAATGCTGATTGGCCAGTAGCCAGGCAGAAAGTATAGTATAGGTGGAATAAGCAGAAAGGAGAATTCTGGGAACAGGAAGGCTGAGTCAGAAGACACTGCCAGCCACTGCCATGAGGAGCAAGATGTAAAATGCCAGTAAGCCATGAGCCAAGTAGCAAGGTATAGATTTATAGAAATTGGTTAATTTAAGATGTAAGATCTAGCTAGCAAGAAGCCTGAGCCATTAGGCTATACACTTTTAATTAATATAAGCCTCTGTGTGTTTATTTGAGTCTGAGTGACTGTTGGCCTGGGTGAGACTGGAGAAAACTCCAGCTACACTTGAGTTCTTGACAGGACAGGCAGGATGACAGGCCAAGTTTCAATATAAGGCTCCAGAGGCAGATCAGCTGGTCCCATCTAAAGAATCAGGAAATAGAAAACTTGGTCAGAATTCAGCCAGTTAAATCCCTCTAGCTTACCACATTAGTCAAAAGTTATCCACAGGACTACCAAAGCAGTGTCATCAACAGGAGGACAAGAATTCAAGCCATGAGCTTCTGGGGATCATTTCACATTCAAACCATAATGCTTCACTACATAACAAGGTTCCATTTCCTAAAGCAAAACTGAAGAAAAACCGGTGGGTAGAGCGAAAGGCAAATCTTTATTTTCATAACTCAAGCCTATGTCTCCCTCCTTGTTTGCTGCCCATATTCTACCCATAAGAAGAAAGTGATAACTGACACTCTCACAGAGAAAGCCACCACCTCGGTGAAGAGTTTACATGGCTCACAATGAAAACCTCACGATTGTGCAGAGTGGAACATTGTTATATAGATTTAAATTATCATGGGTTATGACTTAGTCCCCATAAATACCCATTCATTATTGAATATATGAAGTAAATGGACCATTAAATTTCAGCTGTTAGGGTTCTGTAGAGGAACAAAACTTATACCGTGATTCTATATTAAAAAAAAGGGGGGGGTTATTAGAATAGCTTAAAAGCTGTGGTCCAATTGGTC